TATGAATGTACTAAAATGCCCCCTCTCTCTTTTTATAATAGCTGTCGTTATTTCCTTTCCTCTTTGTCCGCACGCAGCTATCTCCCAGCGAAAATGTCTGCTCCAAGAAGACGAGGTCAGATAGGGTCGGCAAACCAAGTTCATGCCAAACAAGGTAAGTTCACTCAGAAATTGCATCTAGCTTCAATTTTCCCGTCTCGATTAAACATGGCCGGCGTTCTGCGTTAAACAGCGATGGATCTTCAACTTCAGTTCGGTGGCTTCTCAACTTCTTTAGCAGCAGCGCAGATACACGGACAAAGATCGATTAAAGCTTTAGGGTTGGGGAGCTTCATTCGTCGATGAGGGCGAGATGCATCGATTAGGGATGGCTGGCTATACGAACGATACAGAGGAAAGAAGGGAAAAAGAGAAGGGCATTAATGAGATATAACAAATATGAACGATATAAATGCCCCTACTTCTCAAAAGAATTACGAAATTACCAAAAGAATTACTTCTGGCTTGTGGCTTTTGGCAACGGAAATGGAGACTACTGCAAACACTTTTTTCCACTTCTGCTTTAAGAAAAGCCGAAAAGTGCTTTTCAGAAGCATTTGCAAACCAGGCTTTAATATTATATCTTCAATGATGTGTTTTGGGTATTCAATAATTTTTGGATGTTATGAGGCAGATTGGTATCTAGTCTTTTGGATGTTATAATATTTATGAATGAATTAAACAATAAAATCTAGGCCGAATAGGCCCAATAAACAAAACCAGCCAAGTGACTTTGAAGTGTCATAAAAATCTATGATGCTAAAAGTGTCATAAAAATCTATGATGCTAAAGTGTCACAAAAATCTATGATGCTAAAGTGTCATTAAATTTTGCGATGTATTAATGTCACAATGTGTTCTTGATGCATAAATGTCGCTATTTTAGACGACCAATTAGTGTCATTATTTGCTGACACAAAACCGTCCCCTCGTCAGTGACACTATATTTAGTGTCGCTAGCCGCCACTTTCCCCGACGCTTTTTAAGTGTCGCAGAAAGTTTCAGTGACACTAAATTAGTGTCATTGTAGGCTCTTTTTCTAGTAGTGGAGGATGCAATTAATGAAATCATGAAAGTGAAAGTACGAGGGTAGAATTAACTTTCCATACAGAGTACGAGATCCGATTTGACACTTCCAAATTGTAAAATGATACTAATCTATACTTTTTGCAATGGAGCCAAAGATTCATTATTTTTGACTTGAGAATAGGATGGAATAAAGCAAAATGGCTTACTAAACTGTCTGCGCTTCTTTGTTATGAAGCAGCAGTCAGTCCATGCAATTTTGGACGCGATTTTCACTATGGGTCATCCGGAAACAATCTCTTTTTGCTTTAGTACAGGGGTAAGACTGCGTACATCCGACCCCCCCTTACCCCACCGTAGGTGGAAGCCTTTGCGGGCCTGCGGCACTGGGGTAAATGAAAATGAAATGAAATTAAATGACTAATCTATACTTTTTATGGTAATCTATATTTATATTTCTAACGATACCAATTTGTATGAAATCGTGTGTGGAAGAATGTTTATTTGGTCATTATATATTAAATAATATACCTTTAACCATTACCAGAGGAATGTTCAGGTCCGAACATTCCTGATCCGAACACCGTCCGAACATCCCCATTTGGGGCCCTTCCCGGTGAAATTTTTTGAGCATGTTCCTCATCAAGTCTAGTTTGTCCATACCAAATTTCAGCTCAAAATTCGATCGGGAAGGAATTCAAATAATCTGTTGAAGTTGACTGCATCAAAATATACATATAAAAAACGTAGTCAACTTCAAAAAATGATTTAAATATCTTCCCGGTCGAGTTTTGAGCTGAAATTTGGTATGGACAAACTAGACTTGATGAGGAACATGCTCAAAACATTTCATCAAAAAATTCCACCGGGAAGGGCCCCAAATGGCCATGTTCGGACGGCGTTCGGACAAAAACGTGCTGGACAGGATCATTTCTCACTATTACCATATATGTACTTACTACAACTTTATACCATATATGAGTACATTTACATTACTCATGAAATGAATTGATTTCATAATAAAACAGTGCATGTTTGATAACAATGGAATTGGTTGAATCGAATGAAATTATTGAAATATTGATGACTAAATCAGCTGAATTGGTTGAACCGTCAACACAATAAAGAAGAAATTATATGGAAAAGCAACGAAATTGTCATCTTTCACAAATTCAATCAAAACAATTAGAGAAGTAACTTTATCCTTAAATTATTTATTTTGATTATTAAATCATTCAGAACGCGAGAGTTACGTATTTTATAAACATGGTTGGTAAGATTAGTAAGCTGAAGACGCGAATTACTAAACTGATTGTTAGCTTCATTTATCATCCGTGCAATGCACGGGTTACTTGACTAGTATGGAGTATACTTCGTATATAATAACAAGGCCATGAACCTTTTTCCCGTCTAATGCATGTGCATTGTTGTCCAAATAGGTTTAAAAAAATAGAGCAAAAAACTTTGTGTTATACTACGTATATTTATAGACATCAAGATGCATGCAATCATTTTTGAAAAATAGCTATTTCGCTAAACTTAGGACTTTAGGACAACCCATCATCAATTCATTTACATGTGTCAACTGTCAAAACGTGAATGTTTAGGAGCCATTGTACCAAGGAACTTGATGAATATAACTTATGGAATGAAATAACTGGATAATTTATCTAATTGGTCCAATTAATATGCAGAAAATCTATAATAATACTAGTATAATAACAAGGTGTTGAACCTTATTCCCACGTAATGTAGGTTCATTACTGTCCATAACATAAAAGTTAGAGTAAAAACTTTGTACTATATGTTTATAGACATCAAGATGCAATCATTGATGAAAAATAACTATTTCGTTAAATATTTACTTTAGAATAGCCCATCATCAATTCATTTCCATATGTGTCTCAAAACGTGAATGTTTAGGAGCCATTGTACCAAGGACCTAGATCGATATAACTTAAAGAATGAAATAAATGGATAATTTTATCTAATTGGTCCAACTAATATGCAGAACATGTAATGAATTTACTCCCATATATAATAACCTCAATTCTGTATGTGTGTGGACAGTGTGGTATATAAGAACATTCCAATGCTATAACGTGCACGGTGCACACGTGGCATGAGAGATAACCACATAAATATTAGTACATACATTCTTTCTCTCCTTATTTAAATGATTTTATATAGTTTTGGTAAGTTTTTCTCTACAATGTCAAGGAGACCGTCTAAATGTTGACATTGTTGTTGACATTGCAGGGAAAAACATACCAAAATTGTATAAAATCATTTAAATAAGGAGAGAGATAATTTATTTGCTAATATTTATGTGGCTATGACTCATGTCACATGTGCACCGTGCACATTAGAGCATTGGAGATGCTCTAATAATAAATAATAACCTAACAAGGTCTTGGACCTTATTCCCGCCCCATATATAAACGGGCGCTATTTTGACACATTGTTTAAGGAGAAAATAGTAAGGACAATGAATAGTTTAAAAAAAGTATGAGAGAAGGTGAAAAAATATTAAAGAGAAGATAAAAAGTAAAAAAAAAAATAAAGGTAAGTGAATATTTAAAAGGAAAAATTTACGAAAAATAGAAAATGTAGCAAACTTTTAAATGAAACCTAAAAAGGAAAGTGTAGTATACTTTAAAATACGGACGTAGAGGATATATCAATAGCTATTAAGGATGTTTTCTTTTGGACTGAAATGTGCTGGTCTGGTCTGGTCTTTTTAAGTCTAGTCTGGTCTGGTCTGGTCTGTTTAAGTCTGGTCTGGTATGGTCTGATCTGGTCTGGTCTGGTCTGGTCTGGTCTGGTAAACGTCTGGTCTCTGTGTATTTTATAACTACGGAAGTCTGGTCTGGTCTGGTCTGTTTAAGTCTAGTCTGGTCTGGTATGGTCTGTTTAAGTCTGGTCTGGTCTGGTCTGGTCTATTTAAGTCTGGTCTAGTCTGGGACTGAAAACAGTCAAAAAGAAAACATCATAAGTATTAATAGACATACATAAGCAAAATCACTGATGACAAATACGGAATAGCTATTTCACGAAATTTTTATGACTTCAAAGTAATCCCTCATAAATTCAATTCCATATATACGTCAAAAGTCAAAACTTGAATGTTTAAGATCATTATTGTACCAAGGAACTAGCAGGATATAACTAGCTAATTTTATCTAATTGGTCCAGTTAATATGCAGAATGTGTAATAAATTCGTTTTCATATATAATGAACTCATTTCCATATGCGTGTGTGTGATTTGTTTCATGATTATTCATTTCCCCATAATATTTCTGATACGATTCATACGCTAAACGTGACACTTTTTTCATTTTCATTTTCATTTACCCCATAGCCACAAAGGCTCCAACCTAAGGTGGGATAAGGGGAGTCGGATGTACGCAGTCTTACCCCTGTACTAAAGCACAGAGAGACTGTTTTTGGATGACCCATAGAGAAAATCGCGTTCAAAATTGTATGGACTAACTGCTGCTTCATAACAAAGAAGCGCAGACAGTTTAGTGAGTCATTTTGCTTTATTCCATTATATTCTCAAGCCAAAAAATAATGAATCTTTGGCTTCATTGCAAATGATGGAAATACGCTAAATATGACAATACTTATTTAAAAAGTATTAGTGGATGTGTAAGTCTTAAACTCTTTATCTTTAAATAATTTGATGAATTTCAATTTTTTTATTATCGAATAATGTTGCTTTAATTTGCCATTTCTGAGGCTTAATGTGTACCAATACCTTTTTCCAATAGCACTTCGATTTATAAAATCAAAGTTAATTTTCTCGTTGTGAAATTTTGGAGTGTAATAGATTTAAATGTCGCATATAAGTAATATAACACTTTTTTAAATAAGAATATGCAAACTTCTAGACAAGCGGGAAAAATTCACCCGCCTTGACCTTAATTCCTATATATATATGCTACCGAGCTCCTCTTTTCAACTCCCCACTCCGACTTTTCCGCTCCACTAATATGGGAAGGCTTTTGTTTCTTACACTCATCAGCCTCCTCGCCGTCGCTTTGGCGGCGGACATGTTAATAACACACGAAGCCGAGCATCCTACGAAAGGGCCAAGCCGGACAGAAGTCGAAGTCAACGCTTTGTTTGAGTCTTGGTTGGTCAAATACAAAAAGTCGTACAACGGCCTTAGGGGAGAGAGGGAGAAGAGGTTCGAGATCTTTAAGGATAACCTTAAATACATCGACGAGCAGAATAGCCTGAGTGATCGGCCCTATAAACTCGGGCTGAACCAATTCGCCGATCTTACCAATGAGGAGTACCGGTCAACCTACCTCGGCGCCAAGCCGGGAGCTCGCCGGCAAATCGTTAAGAAGAAAATAAATCAGTATTCTCATAAGCTCGGCGCCAGCTTGCCGCAGTCTGTTGACTGGCGACAAAATGGCGCCGTTACTGAAGTCAAAGATCAAGGAAGCTGTGGTATGTTTTTTTCGTTTATACCATATATACTCTTCTGCCATATAAAACTTGACTATATTAATTTTTTTGGTCAATAATGACCAAGTTTGACCAATGACGTTTTTTAATACGGAATTATTTCAAAAATGATAATTATATGATTTGTTTTGTTAAAACATACAAGTGTTTTTCATACAAGTATAAAAACTACTAAGTTACACATAAATATAATAATAAAAATTATTGCCCAAAATTACTCCCTATTATTATTGACCAAGTTTTGTAGGACCATGAGAATATATTTTAAATGAAATTTGGACTAAAGAACGAAGTGCACAAATAACGGCTATAGTAAGCTATCAGGAATAATGGGGCACGCGCTTGGATGGGGAACTTTTTAGATTGTAAAAAACTTGAAGATTTACACATTTTTTATAACTAAAAAAATGATTTGTGACACATATTTATTTCGCTAAATCTATGTAACTTGAAGATTTACACTTTTTGAATGATTTATGTCATTCTTTCAATTCAATTCTTACAAATTGTAACTTGTATAAAAATGCCACCTTTTCTTAGTCTTACACCCACTATTCAGTGTTCACAAATACCTTTGGTGAATGTGAAGTTACTAGCGAATATCAGTCGAATATGTACACATACTCTCATTTGTCATCTCCCCGATTTTTTAATAATTGTTGGCTACATTGCTACATACTCCCTCCGTTTCCAAAAACAATCACGGTTTGACTTCACGATTGTTAAGGGAATAAATTGACTTTACTGTAGAAAACACTGTTTGGCACTGTTTGGACACTGTTTGGCACTGTTTCGCACTGTTTGGCACTGTTTGGATGTAGATTTCTTTGACAAATAAGAAAATAAGGGAAGTGTGACTTTGTTTTTGGAACACCCCAAAAAGGAAAGTGTGAGTTTCTTTTAGAAACGGAGGGAGTATAAATAACTCCTTTCTCTCAAAATAAAGTTTTACTCTTTTCTTTTTCAATCATTTAATTATTTGTTAACTTCTAAGAAAAAATATAAACACATTGCATATACTCCATCTATTCCTAAATTATCTTCCAAATAAAAGTATCTTTTTTCGTTCATCCCAAAATAATCTTCCATTTCCGTTTTGACAAATAATTTGTATGTCACAATCAGGACTGGTCTTGAGAAAATGGAGCCTTGTGAAATAATAAAACATAAATAAAGATGATAATTGTAACAAATACTGATAGTTGGTGTTTAATTACAAGATTAACTTGTACTAAAGATGAAAAGTTGATTTTTAAGGACTATAACTAACAACTTAACAAGTATAAACACATCTGTACCAATTTATTAAAAAAAATAGTTTAATTAACTCATCAACCAATTACATTAAATTCTAAATAACAGCCTAATTTGTTAATTTTCATTATTTTAACAATTCACCCCCTAAATCCCTATTCCCGAATGAACCTAATAAATAATTAAAACCACATATTCACATAAAGTCATAAATTACATAAAAAAAAAAAACTAATAATGAAAAATTGAAATCAAGATATTCAAGGGAGAAGTGAAACTTACCTGGAAATCAAGATATTCAAAAAAACTACTCCGTAATAATGAAAAAAAAAACTAATAAAAACCACATATTCAAGGGAGAAGTGAAACTTACCTGGAGACTCTAGAGTAGTGCCGTAGTGGAAGAACTAATTCAAGATGAGAAGAAATCAATTACTCGGTACTCAAGAAGTCAAGATTGAAGAACTGGAGTCTGGAGCGCCGGAGCACAGTTCACGCACCGCCGAACCGCCGCACCGCACCGCCCCACCGCCCTTCGCCCCTTCCGCCTTCACAGTTTGCACTTCGTCTATACCAGGTTCGCAGTTCGCCTCTGCCCTCTTCCCTCGCTTCGCGGTTCACGCCTTCGCCCTTCGTTTGTCTTAATTTTGATTTTGGGTAACTAATAACTGGGCTAACAAGTAACAAATGCAAAGTAGATAGTGGTGGGTTCGATTCTTTCAATTCGGTTTTTACCTAAAACCAAATACAGAACCAAAGTAAAAGTTCGGTTCGGTTTCGGTTCGGTTTTACACTCCAAAACTCGGAACCATGGTTTGATTGGTTCGGTTTGTTTCGGTTTCGGTTCTTTCGGTTTTTTACCAAAAAATTGTCATTTGATATCATAGTTGGAGGGATCAAACATATTACATAAAAATACAAGCATACTAGAATAAATGAAGTAAAAATAAGAATAAAAAAAACATGTCTTGAATTATATGAGTATACATGAGATATATACGTGTATATATTCTTAATTTATATTGTTTGTGACTAGTTTGAAAAAAGTTCATGAATACATACATCATATGTGATATAGCTGAGATGAATATTTATTTGTTTTATTAATGTAAAAAATGTAAGTTACATAAAAATATAATTTAATTACTACTAATAACCTCTAAAGACAATAATCATGCAACAAATTGCAACATACATACATACATACATAAAAGACATAATTGATCAATATAGCTACATTATTATGGGCAAATGAATGAGTAAATGCATTTATAAACTAAACATAACATAAACATTATTTTTGTAGCACAAAAAAATCAAGACTATTGATGATATTAGGATTAATGATTAAAAATTAACAAAATAAAATTTCATATTTTTAATTAGTTCGGTTTGTTCGGTTCGGTTCGGTTTTGAAGGGTAAAAACCAAAACCGAACCAAACAACTACAGTTCGGTTTTTTACATTTGGTTTCGGTTTTTAGCGGTTTAGTTTTATTTGGTCGCGGTTCGGTTTAATTTGATTCGGTTTTCGGTTTTCCGGACCCATTCCTAAAGTAGACTACTAAGAGCATCTCCAATGGGAGGGTGCATTGCATCTGATGTGGCATAGGAGAGAGATAGAGATAGAATAAATATTGGGATGAAGTGGTGTGTAGGGAAAAATGAAAAAGAGGAGAGAGATAGAGGTAAAAATGGACCAAGGTCTATGACAAGGTCCATATATGGACCTTACACGGGATTCGAGGAGGAAAAGTTGATGAAAAGTGGGTTAAAAGTGATATAAAAAAATGAAAATGAAAATAAATTGGGAAATATGTGGGTCCTACACATAAAATTTGTGAGATAAAAAATGGGACCATGTGTAAGGGTGTGTAAGAGACCACACCCTTGCATTGGAGATGCTCTAATATTACAAGTACTAAATTGTTTTGGACCGTCTAGTTTTTTGGACCTTGTGCAGTTGGGCTGCCCACACCCCCTGGGCTGGGCTTGGTCACAATATTTCTTATACATCCTTAAATATTTCTCTCATCCGCACAACTCTTCATTACAAAATTCCTTTTACATTCTTAAATACTAGTTTTCGGAATCATATATATATGTATAATGTGATGCAAAAGCAAAATAAACCTAGTCTAAGTATAGAGTTCGTTTGGAAATGCTAAAATGGATCAAATCGGCATATTTTGCTAGAATTGATTAAATTCTGACTCAATCGGCGGAATCTCGCGAATCATGAAGAAAAAAATTAAAATATATTCCTGAAGTAAAATACATAAGCATCTCAACTAAACATAATTGTTCTGAACCCGATTTTAATGAATTCACAGAGAAACTCGATAATTAATCTCACATCCTCTAAATTACTTTATTATGCACCTCAAAATATTTTTTTAATATGTTTTTTACTCACTATTTTGTCACATTGAAAATGTAAAAAATGGTGTTTTTTTAATTTTACTCATTATTTTGTCACATTGAAAACGTCATTAATAAGGACTTTTTAAATTGAATTAAAACTTTCGGGTTTGATTTGGTCTGAAGTAATATGGTCTATTAGATGTATGTTTTACATTTTATGTGTCTTATAATTATTATTATTGTTGGTGTTGTTATTATTATTATTAAAGTTTGATCTTGTCTGATCTAGTTTGGAATTGAAATCAATTCAATTAAAAACATTCTTAGAGTATTGAATAAAATTAGGAATTTGTAAACATATAAAGATTTCCTAATTTGGATTAGGGATAAAAGTGAAGGCATATTTAAATTGTAGTTGTAAAAATAAACAAACAACCAAACATATTCACTTTTTTGGCTAGACTAAAAGTATTTACTTGTGAATGTGTGTGTGTGTTGAATATTGCATTTTTTAATACACCAATGCACTTTTACTTTAGCGGGTGCAATAAAAGTTATACATATTTACCATATTGTCAACGTTTTTTGTCCTTAAAATTTGTTCTGATCCTTCCACAAATTTAATGATTGATCCGTTCCAATGAGGCAATGAGCTAATTGTTCTCATGAGAAAATACACGTTTAGAATTGGTTGTGACCCTTTGGAAAAAGAAAGTAAATAGATAAATGAGCAAGGCATGATTACAGGAGAGCTTATACAATACTTTTAGGATAAATGTTTGTGATAAGCATTCTAATCTTAGTTGATTTAGGATGTATAAATAACAAAACTGATATAAAAAGAAAACAGGGGTCTGCTGGGCTTTCTCAGCCATTGCTGCAGTGGAAGGAATAAACCAGATCACAACTGGGAAGTTGATCTCACTATCCGAACAGGAGCTCTTAGATTGCGATAATCCAGACAACCAAGGGTGCGATGGTGGTTTCAAGGAAAATGCCTACAATTTCATTATTAAGAACGGTGGCATTGAAACAGAGGCTGATTATCCCTACACTGGTCATCAAGGAAGATGTAATCAAGCAACGGTCAGTAATTTAATCACACCTTGCACCTATTAATTATTTTAGAACTCGTTTGGTGATCATATTTTCTAGCTTATCACGTTTATCAATCAACTTTTGTAACACACGCGTAACTTTTGTTTTTTAGAGCAGAATTGTCTAATAATACGATAAAGTAAAGTTAGAATTACTTTTCTGACTATGTTGGTTAAAGATATTATACGTAGAGAGCCATTTTAGCTATTTTTATATAATTTTTTCTTTACTATATTAATAAAATACTACGTATATTTCAAATATAATTTTTCCCCGTAAATTAGCATAATTAGACAATCCAACCGCTTCAGTGTAACACCATAAATTTCCGCAGAATCCATCAATTCAGTCGTTTTTTTTATTGCCAAACAAGCTCTCAATCTGTAAATAGATTATATCAATCTCCTAAAAAATTGTTGTTTTAGCAGAAAAAAGGGAAGGTGGTTACTATTGATGGGTATGACTATGTTCCGGCTAAAAATGAGAAGGCACTACAGGAGGCAGTGGCCGCCCAGCCAGTTAGTATTTCCATAGATGCTACCGGGCGGGACATCCAACACTATGAATCGGTAATGGTGTACTTCTTGATTTATACATGATTTCAATATTATTTCGGTTTCGTTGGACATCGCCAACTTTGAATAATGTGTGGTTGAGTTTATTATAAAGGGGAGAGGTATAGGTTGAATAATAATTTCGTGAAATAATTCCAAATATATAACCAAAATAGAAGTAGTGGACAAAAATGTGACTCTCGTATCTCTAGTAACTATAATTGTATTCAAATGTTACATCACAATGACTTTAAAACTCACACATATAACATATAGTCACATTTTTGTTCATAAAATTTTTATTAGTATTTTAGGAAAACTTTCTAAATTCATTACTCTATAAGGAAAATGTCAATTTTTTAGACATATAAAAAAGTCAAATGAAATGGATGGAGGAACAAAATTAAAAACATCCACAAAAAAGGGTGTATTGGAATTTTACAAATATGAAAATGTTTAATAACCACCCAAAACCACATATCTTTATCCTCAATAGTATGTCTTTATGTCTGGATTTTGGAGGATAATACCAATTGATTAAATACAATTTTCAGGGTATATTCACTGGATCATGTGGAGTAGATCTTGAACATGCTATGACAGTAGTTGGATACGGTCAAGAACATGGAATCGACTACTGGATAGTAAAGAACTCGTGGGGCACACACTGGGGAGAAAAGGGATACATGAGAATGCAACGGAATATTAAGGACCCTAACGGTTTGTGTGGTATTGCGATCGACCCTTCCTACCCAATAAAGAATGGCACAAATCAGGAAAGCCTGGTCCAACTCCTCCATCCCCCATTGCAACGTTTAACACATGTGATGAATGTGATGAGTTCCCATCTCAAATGAAGTGATTAGATCTCAGTCCATTTTATTATATTTACAATGAAAATTACGTGACAATAAAAATAATAGTGATGTAACTTAACTCACTGCTCTAGTTTTATAGTTTGAAACTTTAAATGCATAATTCAGGGAAGATCTTAATTACTCAATATTTTCTCAAATCTCTTAACGATAGCACTATTTAATGGATATTATGATATCCAAACACATATAGAGTGTTATTTAGAGATACATGAACTAAGAAAAAGAATAATAGTGTAGTAATAGGGTTTGTGTATGAATGATATGTTCTTGTTCTAAGGTTTGCAATACAATTTTATGATTATATATAGGGGGTAATGCACCAAACCCCCTTCTGATGTATAACATCGGCGCATTAGCCCCACGTGATTTAAAAATTGACTCAAATCTCTCCATGTTTATATTAACATTACAATAAAATAAAATTGGTTTATGGAGGCATGACATAATTGCCTCAAAAAATAGGAAATTAGCTTCTAATGCTCTTTTGGGGCAATTTAGTGGTTGTCAATAAATAGTCAGTCACTAAATGTTGTTTGTCTCCAAAACCGCATTTAGAGGCAACAAAAGATATGCTTCTAAAACAACACATTTATAAGCATCTATATCCCTTCGCCTAAAAAAGACATTAGAGGTAACCATATCATGTTGTCTCGTAATGCAATAAGAGTCAATCGTATGCAGCTTTTAGTGTTGATGTGGAGTCCTTTTAGAGGAACCATATGGCATTCACATCATTTTGCCTCAATAGAATTAACATCACGTAATATATTTATGGGAAAACTGTCAAATAGGCCCTCGTACTATCTTCGAAAAGTCAATTAGATCCTTCCACTTCATAATCAACCAATTAAACCCTCATACTATAAAAAAAAGTCAATTACACACTTTAATAGGTAAACACCAAGTTTGCCGGTAAATTTCATGCATGAAATGTAAATGTGGTGACCCACATATATGCCACATCACATTAATGAAATTAATTTAAAGAGAAAAGGTATTTCGATCATATCAAGTTAAAATACTCATGTCTTGTCGTCGTTTACTCTGTCACAAGCCAAAAACACTGAATCAGAAGGACGACTATGGCAATTCCGGCAAAGACTGAACGGACCAGGGGAGTCGGCGGCGGAGAATGAACCAAGAAAAATCAGCGTAGATATATACATAGTTTGGTCTGCTCGTAACTCTAAATCTATCCGGTCTTATAAGTTATACCTTGTTTGTGAACTGCGTGTGTATACAATTGCTGCTTTAAGAGGCTGCCCGGAGATGAAGATCTTGACAACCAACGAAGGTTCTGGTTGTCGGGAATGACGGGAGCTCTGTCGGGGTTTCACCTGGCGGCAGAGCTAATCCGTTTTATAACTATTTGGACTGCGGCGATGCCGACCCGGTGTAGAGATTCACCAATCGGAGATCTCCTACGTGCAGCCGCTCTCATCCCCCTCCCTCTTCTTTTTACTTCGATTTCATTACTCCCTACACCTCAATAATCTCTATGCATAACTGACTAATAGAGTTAATTTAGCAACTATACCAAAGTATATACTAATTAAAATAGTAAGGTGGACCATAATAGATCTTAAAGCTAAAAATGGTGCTCTAGAGAGTTACTTCATCATCATCACCATCACCATTGACATTGTCACTGCCATTGTCATCACCATTTTTTGAAATATCTACAAATATTATAATAAGATATTTGCAGCTATCTGATAAAAAATCTGCAACAATCTGACATTACTGTAATTTGACTAATTTCAACAAACAACCTATTACACAATTTTGTACTAGTAATCTTAAATAGTCTGCAACTAGAGTATTTGTGTTAGTGCAACAAAAAAAAACTTGGTAAATGTTTGTTTAATTTGTAGTATATTCAGTCTACATGTATAAACAATATTACTAGCTGCAATAACCTTTAGTGTATATAACAACAGAAATTATATAGTCTGCAACCACCTGATAAAAACATGCATGAATGAACATATATGTAGCTAGAATATTCAAGTATAGCCTAACAAGAGAGACGTTATACGAGAAATGTCCAAATCAATCCGTAAATTATTCATTTAGATTTTTACTTTGGGTACAAAAGGTATTCAAACGCTCAAATAGTCAAATGATGTCCATAGAAGGAAAACACTCAGAACACCCCAAAAACAAAATAACTAAATGGCTAATCCAATTATAATTATAAAATATTAGTGCAAAACATAAATTACGTACAAATAATAATAACAAACAAACAATTACCCAATACTATTAAGTTTATAATTAAAAAAAGAAAAAATGGCACGGGTATCATTAATAGACTTTTGATTTCCCCATTTATGACTTTTTTCTTTTTCCCCAAAAAAACTCACCCGATCCTTACCTCTTTCTTCATTCGACGCTTCCTTCCAACGCATCTTCCTTCTCTCTTCATTCGCGCAAGACACAGCCAGAGTTGCCATGGATGCAAGACACGAAGCTCCAACGCCCTCCGCCGCCGCTCGCTTCTTCTTCTTCTTCTTCTTCTCATGTCTTGCTGAACGCTACCCATCTTCTTCGTTGCTCGATTGCCGCATCTCTGTCGCGCCTGTGCTCGCTTGACCGAAACCGTCGGTGCTGATCCGCCGCGTGGACTGTATTTTAGGTCATTGGTGCCGGATCTGTCGTCCGTGGGGCCGCCGGTACCGGATCTGTAACCTTTGATGCCGTCGGTTCTGGATCCGCCGTCCTTGGGACCGCCGGTACCAGATCTGTCATCTCCGTGGATGGTGACTTCGATTTGGGTGTAGGTGGTTCAGTGGCAGGGGCGGTAGACGGGTGTCAGTGTCCTAGGCAGCGATTGTGCAAGACTGGGGTGGGGTGGATAAAGGCTTGGGTTGGGGTGTGGTGGCCTCCTTGCTGGTCGGGGTGGTTGGTTTGAGGTGGTTCAGTGACTTGTTGGGGGAGGGCAACGGCAGTGACTGGGTGGGGCAGTGACTGGCCGGGGGGTGGCGGCAGTCACTGGCGGGGGCGGAGGTGGTTTTGTGGCAGGGGCGGGGCAGAGTCCTGGGACTGGGGCGCGGGTGTGGTAGGGATGTGGCGGGGTGGGGCTGGGGTGTGGTGGACAGGGGCTGGGCTTGGGTTGGGGTGTGGTGGCCGCCTGGCCGGCCGACGTGGTTGGCAGTGACTTACTGGAGGGGGGGGTGACTGGCCCGGGGGGGCAGTCAATGGTGGGGCAGAGTGTGGCGGCGGAGTCACTATCGATGGCAATGGCAGTCACTGCACGGCAGTATCAGTCACTGGCGGTGAGCGGGCAGTCTCTTTGGCCGGTGAGCAGGTAGTCACCGTAACCGGAGTCACTGTGGCCGGTGAGCGGTGGTCACTATGGCCGGTAGGCGGGAGTTAGGCGGGAGTCACTTTGGTAGGAGTCACTTTGGTCAGAGTCACTTTGGCCGGAGTCACTTTGACCGGCGGCGGCGGAGGTGGTTGCGGCGGCTGCGGCGGAGGTGGTGGTGGTGGCGGCGGTGCTGGGTCAGCTGCCATGGAGCTGAGGTGCTGGTGGCTGCAAAATATGTAAAAAAGGAATATTGAAATAATAAATGTATGATTAAATAAAAGAAATAAATGAATTTTAGTGACACTTTTGGAGAAAATTAAAACATGTCACTTTTTTAGGGTTTTCATTCAATTTAGTAATATTGGAATAAAAAGGCCTTAAAAAACGCTTAGCAAAAGTGTATAGAAGTACAGAGTCTCAAATTCTTAAACCCCAAATTCCCAGATCTCAATTTATGGTCAATTGCAGAAAATGAGAAACAAGTCATTAACTACTCCGTATTTCTTAGGCGGCCTGCTCCATGGCGTTGATGTCTTGGACCGAATTTCCAAAACAGAAAAACACCGAAATCCGGAAAAAGAATAGAGCCACCGAGAAAGCAATAAAGTAGAGAGTAAGGGAGTGTTTGCAATTGCTTCAACTTTAAAAAAGTAATTTTTTAAAGTGATTTTAGGAAAAGTGATTAATAGTAAAAGTTGATGGTGTTTGAGAAAAAAGTGATTCTGAAAAAGTAAAAGTTGGTAATGTTTGGTAAAATAAGTACTTTTTGTGTAATAGAAAAAGTGAAAAACAGTTTAAAGCACCCTTCCACCTGCTTCCAGCTTTTAACTTATAAGTGATTAATTTAAGCAGAAGTTGTCATTTGAAAACACTCTTTTTAGTTTTTTTTAAGCCAAAAGCTGAAAAGCGCTTTTTTTAAGCAACCGCAAACACTGCTTAAGGGTTAATCGGAAATCAGAGTTTGATATTATTATACTCCGTAGTCTTAGAGCTCGTTTGGTAGCACGGAAATCAACTGATTTGGCTGATTCTGCTGAAATTTATGAAGTTCTGGCTGGAGTGGCTGCATTGACTGCTTCTGCTGATTTAAGAAAAAATTATTTTTAAAATATATTTATGAATAAAATACAGAAAAAATTATATGTAAAAATAGCTAAAATGGTTATCTACAGTAACTTCAGCCAATACAGCCCGAAAAGTAACTTCAACCTTATTTTTTCTGCTTATTACACAATTCAGCCCGCAAAAGCAAAAATTATGTTGGGTGTGTTTCGAAAAACAAAGAAAATCAATTAATAAAAATTAATTAAACAAAATGACTTAAAGGAAAAAACAAGAAATGAGATGAAGCAGAATAAGCCAAAGCTCGTGCTACGCACGATTTCCTTAAAACGTATTCGTTGCCTCCCGGGGTGTTAGGAGCGTTGCAACGATCGTTTCCCAGGATACGATGACTACGAACAATAGTTTAGCACTCAAACTAAAGTTCCAACGAACGTGAACAAAGGCTGAACACAGAAGGAATTTTGAGAATGCTAGCAGGGGTTTCGAGAGCTCAAAGGTGCGTGAGTTCGTTTGTTAGTTGTGTCTTGTTGTAAATCACCCGCCAGCTACTTATAGGATGGATTTGGAGGTGTGTTAATGGAGGTTTAATGGATATGAACGTTGATAATCAATGTCCAGCTCGTTGGCATTGATTCGTCCAGAAAACCGTCCATTTATTGCAAAGGAACGTTGGGCATTTATGGCGTTGTAACGCCTCAGCAGCAGGTTGCTTCTGGCCGTTCAACACCCATGGAGAAGTGGCCTGCTCCAACCTGGAGCAAAAATAGGAACTCG